TTAATTAAAACTATTAAGGCAATTTATTTTCAACTTTTATATTGATACTTCAAACACGTTAGGAACACTAAAAGTTTACATTAATTAGTTACCGTTAGTTAGTTAACAATTAAGGCTAAAAAATAGCTGTCTTGGGAATAAAGAGGCGTAGGTGATTTATTTTTTTTAATTACCGTAAAAATGAGCTCTATTTAATGCAAAAAGAGAGAATTCTCGAGCGACTTTTGCCTGATCCTGGAACCATTTATTTATTTATTTGTTTATTTTTATTTTTAACAACCCTGTTTTGCACATTCTGCTTTGTTAGTTGTAAAGAACAACTTAATTTTAACTTTTTTCAAATTTTTATTTTTCGATACATTTGTTTGAATCAATTAGAATCTATATCTACGATATTCACTTCTAAAATTCACGTTTAGAACGAAATTAATTAACGCTTTTGACACACATATTGGTCATTGGATTGACCGTTTTTGCCAAATTAGCGTCATTTGAGTTAGTTTTTTGACATCATTCTAGATACCTTTCCTCGTCATAAAGTGCAATAAAATGACTATTAATTATTTTTTTACGTTCAAACTCTAATTCGACTGGACTAAATAGCTCGCTGTATTTTAATAAAAATTATAAGTGGTTACTTTTATTTTAGTTATTATATTATTTTATATATTTAGGCTCGGTACTTTGAGTCTCGGTTAAAGGTTGATTAATTGATCAGGCGATTAGACTGTACATTTGTAGATTTATTTTATAAAGTATAATCACAGTCTAATCGCCTGATTAGTTAATCAAGCCTTAACCGAGATTCCAAGTACCGGGCCTTATACTGTAAACAAATGAAACACGAAACCAATTACCTTTTCATATAAACAAAGTGTAAGTCCGTTAATTAGACCGTTGTTCTTCTCTGTTTGTTGCACAAAAACTGGTCAACGAAATTATTTACAGAAAATGTGTGATCACGTATTTATCATATTCATTAAATAATAATTGTAATGATTAATGATTAAAACATTGCATGTTTTACCCTTTACCCATGCTATTAATTATTTTTTTGTTTCATTTTCCATTTTTTCCACTAATAGTTCTAATAAATTCTAAAAATGTAAGTTGGAATGTGACATAAATTTTGGTTTAGAGTTTAGAGAATAGTTAAAGGTACAAGCTCTAAATGTAACAGTGACTGTTTAAATAAAAAATAGTGTTTCGGGTATTAGATAGGGTACACGGGATTTACTGATCAGAAGTTTTAAAATTTTGTACGGGGAGGTAGTAATTTCATTTATTCTATATTTACATATGAACATATACTTTTGTGTACAATACAATAACAAAACAGTCTTTTGGGAATGAATATGTATTGTGTTGTTCATTATTATTGCACAACTCAGTGATATATATTTAATACTTATCTAGTTTACTAACTATTACAATTTTTTTTTAATATAATTTTCTAGAGTTAACATAATAACATGTATTTAAATATATGCGACATTTTTTAATAATCAATTCCTTAAAACAATTCTGAATGACACAGACTCTTGACCATTATGTGTAAACGACGTTAGATAATATTTAGTAATGTATGTGATTAAAAAGGCTGTGGAATGTGTACAAATTACTGTTTTTATAAATTGTTACAAATCTTAATTTACATCATATAAAGTGCAGTAAATTTACCTGATGTTGGTTTTTGTTACTTTTTCAGAAAATACTTTTGCGCTGTGGAGAAACAAATGAAGAGATTGCGAGCTTAAGTCTACAGAATAATAATGATTTTTCGATTGCGAATTAAATGCACTTCTATTATGTTATAGGGTCAATCGACCAATGAATGAACAAATAAGACATATTATCACTTTGAATTTAGATTACAGATACTAGGGTCATAGTAAATTCAAATATTTCAATACGATTAGTAAGCCCTATTATTTTAAATTTTTAAAAACCCAGACACAACTATAGAAAGTTAATTCTTGTATTTATTTTTTAATTAGTTTTGATAGAAATGCCAAATCACCAGTAAATGAACATAAGTACCCAGTTGATGAACAAAGATAAACCAGTGAATGAACATGTTATTTATTTTTGTATAAAAAGTAACAAAACATGAAACTAACGCCTACAGAACTACCTACAGCAAGTACAGTTATTAAAAATTAAAATTGAGAACCCAACCCGAATATTATATCCGTGGTGGGTTCTGAAATGTTCTTAACAATTTTACTTCTGATCGTAGATTACTTCTTTCGTAGTCTTCTTCACCTGGGTAATTCCTATTCCAGTACTTCACAATAACATAGTTACCTACAGTGATTGTTTCGTCTGAAAACTCCTTAATTTTCATTCTCTTGAACACTTATTCTTCTGCGTTGTTCTATATGTTTCTTTGGTTCTTGCCCTTTCTTATTTTCTTCTTCCTTCTGCTTTATGTCTTTTTCTTCTCAACCTATCTCCAATTTTCTCTTTTTAATAATACTTTCAGTTTTGTCTAATGAGTGTAATGTCTCCTCATTTTCTTTCATCTAAATATTTTTCTTTGTTTTTTGACCTTTTCTGGGCCCTCTTTCCTATTTTCCTTATTTTTATTTTGGTTCTTTTTCTTTTTTCTCTAATTTTCTCTCTCTTATTATATCGTCCTCTTTTCGTGTTTTTTTTCTCTGTTGATCATTATGAAACTTGATGAAAACATTTATTTGAAGTAATTGCATATGGCATTAGTGTACGGGAACGACTGGAGCTTGTTTTTTTTATTAGTCTTCTGGTTTATCCCAGTGTAAATGCTTTTTCCAAATATCTTCAGGTTTTGTATCATTTTGATTCGTCTCTATTAAAATATTCGATACAACATGGATACCCTTCTCGTTATTGTTATTATTTTTGTTATTTGTCTTGTTTAACATGTTATGTGTTTTATATAATGTAGTATTTATATATTCTATTCAATATTAAAAACATTTTCTAGGATTAGATTGAAAAGTTTCTCACAGTCCAATTTATTTTGAATGGATAATTCTCTCGAAACTTCATTATCAAAATTAACCGTTAGTGTTTCAAATACTTTCTACATGTAAATGTTCTTATAACATATAGTTGTTTAGCCCTACGTTACTTTTATTTATTAGTAAGTATGTGAAAATAATACTTAAATTGTAAGGTTAGAATAACAGTAAGTGCATGTTTTACAAACGCTTTTTTAAAGTTATTATTTTATTTAAGTAAATTTAAATAGTCACAATGAATAAACAGAACATCAAGGATTTTATTGCTTACTTTTGTTGCACACGTTTTATTTTTCAAGATTTCAGTACCTACCTAAGGAAGCCAGAAATTTGACTATTTCTCGGCCAGGGATACGGCCACCTTAATGTTGTTGTTAATAAAACAATAAGAACAATTTACAAAAAGATAACCATTTGTAGGTACTACTTTTAATAATTTTATAATAAATCTAGTAAATGAACAGTAAAATGACTAGTGAATGAACGCTAGTTCTTATTGTTCATTTACTGGATTTCTACATGCCATGGTAATATTATGTGACCCTGAAAAATTTTACTTTAATGTAGCAGGTCTTAAGAATCATTTTTGCTTATTTCTAAGAATCGCGCCCAACCCAGTAAATGAACGGCCTGTTCATTTACTGGATTTGACATAGGTTTGACTGCTAGTTATAAAACAGGTGGTATGTTATGAAAATGGGTATGACAATTAGATAACTTTTTGTAAAATTGGCTTTATAATTAAATTAACTATAGCTTTAGTAGAGAAGCTTTATTATGTTTAACGTTTTATACAACACAAACAGTTTTAAAAGTTGTTATGTTCTTTGACTGATCTTAGCTAAAATGGCCGCCACAACAACACACTCTGACTTGTCTACACTCAATGAACTACTGAGCAGTTTAAAGCATACTGAAAAATATTCCAGCGAATGAACATTCTAAAGCGCAGTTTCGAAGAAAAATAGAGGGAAATACGAATTTCGGCAATCCTAAAGTAACCTTAATATTTAAATAAAATGCCTGTTCTGTTCAGTTACTGGGTACTGTTCATTCTCTGGTCGAGTCACCCTAAATGTAAAAGAAATTGAATATAAGTTATTGCGTATAAAACACAGTCATCGTGCGATAGAAAATATAAGAATTATGATAATGGGAAGCAAAGTTTATTGATTTTGCTGTATTTTAAACTTTAGCAACAAAGTAAAATGTAGCCTTGTTGTACAATGCATTCGTATCTAATTTAATTCCTCCTTTCGTGTTTGTAAATATTTCATACAAATATACATAGCCTTCATAAATGATTGCAAGCCATGTGATCGCCGAGTTTAGGCAACCAACATTGCAGAGTTGGTACTGGCAACGAAAAATTCCAAAAACTTACTTAAACCTTTATTAATGATTCCTTTACAATGAACAATATTAAACCGTAACGTTCACGCTCGAGATAATATGAACTGATTGGTTGAATAAAATCTCTTGAAAAATTACACCAACCACCAGCCGGTGAAACAGAATATTGTGTTAATGTAGTCTTGTTCTTATCTGTATTTACAAGCACGATTTCGCATTAAAAAAAACAATCGCCTAAAGGGTGTAAGAAATTTGACTGCCATTACTTCAGCATGAGGTAGAGTAATCATAAATGAACAAAAAAGTTGTATATTAGAAAGGCGTAAGATTAGTATTAATATTGGGGAGTTTCATCACAACGTGACAACAGCGCTTAACCTGCTGATGCACACCACGTGTACATGCAGCAGATTTGTCCTACGGAACAAATGTAAACAGGTATTATTGTAAAACATTTAGTAAATTTCAAGACATTTGTTTTCCGGTTTTTAAATAAATAAAATAAAATGTATCGATTTTGTAGTACGAAGATGCTAGTAGTAGTATAATCAGCGCTGCGAGCCAAGAAAGCTCATGGCTTGGTTGCACATTTTTTTCCATTTCTTTTTGTTTTCTACTCTTCTCCTCCGGTCCCCGATTCCCATTTCATCCAAGTCCCTTTCCACCGCTTGTAGCCATTTCGTCCGAGGTCTGCCTCTTCCTCTCCTCCCCGTTAGTACTTTTCTCGTTGGTCTCTCTCCTTCTCTCCAGCCTTCCTACGTCTCCCAGCCACCTCAATCTTTGTACTCTAGTCACGTTTGTTATTAATGGCTCCCCGTATATTCTCATCAGTTTCTCGTTTGTTCTTCTCAGCCATACCTCTCCTTCTTCCTTTCTTCCATATATTTTCCTCAATACTTTTCTCTCAAATATTTCCAAAGAGTGTTCTTCTTTTGTATTCAATTTCCATACTTCGCTCACATAAACAACTATTGGTCTTATTACTGTCTTATATATTATTTTCAATTCATTTCCAACGTATCCACGTACCAACCACATTGACAATTAAAAATATTTTCCTGGTACGCTTACAATATTTAAAAATGCAAGCATTTTTCAAATTTAAAATGAAAAAGCACAAGATTATATTGTGAAAAATGT